GAGAGAGAGAGAGAGAGAGAGAGAGAGAGAGAGAGAGAGAGAGAGAGAGAGAGAGAGAGAGAGATTGCATCCGTCGGTTTCCTCCACCTTTACTTTGTCACCTGTCGCGTTTGTTTTTGTGAGCGAAACCGCGACAGGTCATCTAGTGATGAGATGGGAGATGAAGCATAGCGGTATGAGGGGGGTGATGCCGAGGCAGCGCTGATGAGGACGGGTAATAAAGACGAGCACGATGGGGAGTGTGTGGAGGGAGTAGGTGATCAGGAGGTGGAGACATGGGAGTGGAAGGTTGACGAGGATGACATGGGAGATGAAGCATAGCAGTATGCTGGGGTGATGGGAAGGTAGCGGGGGGGGGGGAGAAAGGGGAATGAAGAGGAGCATGATGGGGAGTGTGTGGAAGGAGTAGGTGATTCAGAAAGAATAGGAGGAAGAGGAGCGCGGGCAAGAAGAACTTGTGGAGAAGGGACGAGGAGGGGGGGATTGCAAGATGAAAATGGTGGATAACCAAGATAGGGGAGGATCGGGAAGAACAGGAGTTGGGCTAGTGTAGAGGTGAACTTGGTGGCTATGGCAGGGCAGGGCTGGAGGGAGGACGGTTTGCAGGAGGCATGGATGAGGGAAGGAGGATGGGAGAGCAGGAATACAATATCCCGAGCAGATGATTGTATAGCTGAAGTACCTCCTGGATGAAGTACTCCCATGAAGCCTACCTATGGCTTGCAATAATAGCATCTAATTTACTTGTCTGGGCATAGCCTGGGATTTGCATACCCCAAGTTCTGGCTCTCACTGTGATGCCTGAACGGAACAGTGCATGCCAGAGTGAAATGGAGACGAACGGTGTATGCCAGAGCAAAATGGAGACTAGGTCTTTCCCTGTGGAGTTTGTGGCTGTGGAGTGACTGCACGTCAGGTAAAGGGAATGTTGTGGCAGTGACGTTTATGCCTGACTTTTGGTGCCGGATCATTTTGGCAGGAAATGTGGAAGCACAGCCAGAAGACGCGCTTAAAGGTTTTGCTGAAGTTGTGAGGATGGAGGAGAACAAGGGAGAGTGGTATGTTCAGCCAAGCTCTCCTTTCGGTGGATACTGGAGATACGGAAATGTCAGTCTTTGCTGTGAAGGGAACTAAATTCTTAAATTAAGCACACTGTTTGCAATGGGGATGCTGTTTTGTTTTTGTGCATGCATATGTCTTGTTGCGACCAGTTTCTTCTTGCTGTTGTACTGCACAGGTCACATCCTGTTGCTCTTTGAACGTGGGAAATGCATGTCTTGTTGCGACCAGTTTCTTCTTGCGTCAAGGTCACATCCTGTTGCTCTTTGAACGTGGGAAATTAAGTCTTTGGGTCTGTGGATGGATGAGATGTCAACCACATATCCTCCCCGGGCTTTGACCTTGTTTCACCGCAGTAGTTTTCAGGGGGCCCCATTTGAGGATGTAGTGGCAAGGTCCATCGGTGCATGGGATCATAAGGGAAAAAAAGTGACGAACTTGGAAAACCTGTCAACACAAACCATGATCTGCAGTAAACTGGTTCTGCTTTCCTTGCTCATGTCTGTGAACAGTGTGAAGTCAATTGAGACAGATTCATAGGGACCATCTGGAACGAAAAAGGTTCTCAGCAAGCCATTGTTGCTGGCGAGTTTTGTCCTTTTAGCAGACTTGACAGCTTCCACAAACTGACACGCAGATTTCTTCATACCAGGTCAATAATTTCTTGCAACAAACAGACATGCGTTTTGAGGAATTCAGAGTGACCATTATTGTCAGATATTCGCCTGAACTTGGGAAACAATATCAATCATGCAGACACAACAGATCACATTCCATATGTACGTCGAGTAGTATACCATCTTGGATGTGGAAATCAGACTGTCAACCAGGGTCGGCCAATGACTGTGTGAAGATAGGCCCAAAAGTAGGGTCTCCGGGTTTGCTTCCACTATGTTCTATTGTGACAACATTTTCTGTGCAGCAAGAACTGACAGACGTTTTGAAAAATCCGGAGTGACCATGGTTGTCAGACATTTGCCTAGACTTTTGAAACTGATTGCCGCACAATCAGGCAGACACAACCAATCACATTCCGTAAGTACGCAGAGGAGCATGCCATTTTAGATTCGGCCAACAACCACGTGAAGATAGTCGGAAAACAGACCGGCAACCGGGGTCAGCCAACAACCCGGTGAAGATAGTCAGAAAACAGACCGGCAACTGGGGTCAGCCAACCACCACGTCAATATAGTCCCAAAAGTAGTCCTTCGAGGTGCTTCCACTATGTTGCCTTCGGGGTGCTTCCACTATGTTCTATCAACCATGAGATTGTAACAACGTTTCTTGTGCTTCATGTCAAAGTCATACACATCGATTTCTTGGCACCATCAAGTCAGCGCAATGCTGAGTTTGGGCCGGGTCTTTCTGCACTGCAAAGTCTGAATAAACTTTGAAGTGTCAGCCAAGGAGATAATGCCTCTAATGCTCCAAAGCTTCCCAAAGCGTGAAGAGTTCGCGTTAGCAAGCACAGCTGGTAACCTTTTGGGGGTCAACTTTCCAGTCGTGTACTCGACAACACCAATGTCAAACTGCCTTGCATAGCTAGTCACCACAAAAGGTCGACTGGGATCAGTGATGCAAAGGATGAGATAACTCACCAATGCGGTTTCAACTTTTGAAATTCACTCTCACATTCCTTGTGTTGATCTGCAGAATCGACTCTAACCTGGTGTCCAAATTTGAGATTGATCTTGGAGAACACAGGTAAACCTGGGGTGAGCATGCACACTTTTCCTTTCTGCTCAATACTTGATAGTCAATGCACATCGGCCCCACGCAGTACACACAACCCCTGGGAGGTCGGCTATCCGGTAAGCTTTTAAATTTGTGTTTGATAGGAAGGTTTAACAAAAACAGCACACATACATTTGGTCTTACTTTCAAATTCAAATTTCCTACAAAATTCTGGGCTCGTCACAATTGGAAAGAACAGAGGGCTCTCGATCCTCGTTCAACAACACATTTCGGGTCCGGCCCACATAATCTTTTACAATGAACTTAGGCTCTTCCATTGAGTATATCATAGCGTGAATACCGCCACCCAACCAAATGACAACATGGAGGGGTCATTCATCCATTGAGTATATCATAGCGTGAATACCGCCACCCACCAAATGACAACATCGAGGGGTCATACTAGCCTGCCATGCTCTAAGCACGAGTTTGCGACATATCTGCCCTTGTCAAAGGTAGCAGGAAGCATGTGAGAACCGCTTGGTTGCCGACCTCTGTATGGCCAGCACCGCCGTCAATCAATGGATTCATGTATGTGCGATTGATCGAGAACAGGAAATAAATACTCTCCACACCTCCAAATACACCTTTTTCTTGTATTGATTCCATCTGAGGTTGTGAGCGTGAAAATCAATTGCTTTCCTGTCATTCCAGGACTCGACATCTGAAAAACGAGAATGCGCAGCAGCAGCTAAGTGAATCTGCACATCTAGCAGCCTTGGTGTGTGCCTGCAATAGAGCTGCAGGTTTGGAAACAGTTTGCTCAACGGTTGACAAACAAGCGTCGACTCTGGTGCTGCTAACTGTTATTTCCCATGTTTAGAGAGGACTGACATACTCCCTATGCCTGATTCAGGTTTCCCTATAGATGGAAAGATTCCCATACAAGCGTCCCCCTTCCTTGCAATACGGGCAGACTCGAGGGATTTCCGTGTAGAAGAAGATGGTTTGGTTCTAGGGTGTTCGGGGATTTGATCATCTTTGGACAAGACAAAGAGTTTCTTCTTGTTGCGATTGTTTGCAGACCCTTTGTTAGTGATGACTGACTGACTGTACGTAATTAACTTTGTGTTCTACTCTTGGTCATCCACCGTTCAGCATGATGTAACCTGCTAGTTGTTGGCCACCAACAGACTTTTCGGGCAAAAGGAGTTCTTTGGCCCATGGGCCAGCATGTGGTAAGTATTGATCTAGTGTTTCCAAAATTTTCAGATCAGTCATGGAGGTTTCCCAATCTTCATACGTAGTAATGCCAAGGCTGCTGGAGAGGCTGCACCCTGCACTGCTTGTAACCCAGCAAGTTCAGTTACTTATTGCGACTTCTCGTAGGGACAGTCCTTGCGTGATGTCCATCCAAGTGGTCAGACTCAGTTTTTGATGGGGATGGCAGTGGTGTCCTTCTGGGCTGCAAACACAGTTTTTGAATCTGTTTGTGAACCTTCTGGGCTGCAAGCATATCTTCCCACTGAGCTTTCATCAATTACATGATGTCAGGGCAAGGAGTATTCTGAACCAATCAGAATACTTGTCCTTGCAATACCCATCCTTTTTTATGGATAGTGGGCTGTGTGAAGGTTTCATCATAATTTCTTTCTTTATTTCGGTAATAGGTTTACACCCCGATTTCATCCTTCCAGTATGGCAAAGCGCTTTCTATGATGTAGCCTTTGACCACAGCCCCGTGTTGATATGGGCTTCCACTTATGCGGAGAACAACATTGAATGATGTTTGGCTGGTGCTTGGAAGTGCTTAGTGTATGAACTCACCTTCCCCCGGCCAAGTGACATTATCCTGTTTGCCATTGAACTTGGTTGGAATTGGGACCACTGCACCTGCACAAGAGTGTTGAGAAGGAGCAAGTGGACAAACGATGGCTTGTGCAGCATGAGGAGCTAGAGAGAAGGTTTGGGGCTGTGGGGCACAGACTGGCTCAACAGATCATGTTCTTCTGCCGAGGTTGGTGATGCTGGTTTGTAGATTTACTACGAGATTGTGGCAGTGTTACAAGTTGGACAGGTCTCGGATAGGCTAGGATAAAGCTCCCGAGTATGTGAAAGTGATCTGGTAAGGGGGCAGCCCCCTGGTTTCCCAGGCTCCCCTCTTGCACTCCCTCAATGACGAGGAACTGGCAACCCCCACCTCCCTGGCTACCCCCTGCACAGGCACTCCCCCCCCTCCTGTTCCCTCTACCCAATGGGATCCCACCTGCCACCCCTCCTCTCCCCTCCCCCCTCCGTGAGATGGCTCCCC